CAATACCATGTCACATGTTTCTATTCATCCTCTGTTAGTTGCCCTTTCTTCCATGCCTTTTAAAAATCTAAACTGGTTGGTGAATTGGTTTGTATCAACATCAAACTATTCAGAAAATTCCCCTTCTGTTTCACCAGAATTGTCCCTCTTCTCATCATAATCTCTTTTGTAAGAGCTTTCCATCCCTCCTGGGGTGACTTCTTTAAATGATCACTTTTAATGATAATGACAATAGAAATACATACATATACATATACATATAGGTAAGGAGACTGAGATAGGTAAAGTGACTTTCTCACAGTCACACTCAATGGCATAGCAAAGTATTAATAAGAGCAATCCCCTGGAGAACAATAACAGATTGACTAGAAAACAAAAATGATTTTCCATCGCCAATGAGAGTTTTTAAGGAATTGGTATGGTACAAACCAGTCAGTCACTGGGGACCTGCTTGCATGAAGGGAACATATGGTGGAGGCTTCTCTTTTATCAGATTTGTTTTATGTGGAAAAGGTCTTTCTCGAACCTTGGCAAACTATAATATCCTTCTTCACATGAATATATCCTACTATACCTGGAATGGCCTTCTTCCCATCTCCCCATCTTGGCCTGCTGACATTCTATCCATCCATCAAGCCCCAGCTACAATGCCATTTCCATCATGAATGCTTCTCTGCTTCCCTAAGGACGTGAGTCCTTTCTCATCTAAAAGTATTTTATATTACTTTTATGTATTTATCGTATTCTAACTTGTGCTGCATTTATCACCATTCCTGTCCTTTTTCTCCTTCTAGATTGTAAGCTCCTTAAAGCTAAAAGTCATGCCTCATTTTCCTTTGTATACACCATTGCCTAGCCCAACATACTACATCTATTAAACACTAAAAACTATTTGTTTCAATAAAAATTTGCTATTGAACAACTGACCTAATCTTGAACAATTCTATATTTATATTCTGCATCATAAATTGTTAGGTGATGATAAAACAGTGCTGGAAGAAACTTGAGAGATCATCTAATACTACTCCCTCATTGTACAGAAGAGGAAACTAAGGCCCAGAGAGAGAAAGTGACTTAGCCAATATCACATAGAAAATAAATGGCAAAGCTAGGATCTAACCCTAAAACTTTTCACTACAAACCCTCTATTCTTTATTCTATGTGATGCTGCCTTCCTGACCTGAACCCTCAAAGTGCACTCAAAAGGCCTAGTTAAGCTAACTTGTATTTTTGTTGATCCACTATCAGTGAAGGAGATTGGTTTAACAATCATATATATATTGATTATATATAAGCTAATGATACCAGAAATGAGGCATGGAATGCTTTCCACCTATAAGCTATTTGATGACCATCATCCTAAAGTTATTCAATACCCTGTATTTTAAGAGATATAAGAATAGATACGGTTCTTGGGCTGATAAACCTAGCTCCAGACTGGTCCCCCCAAATCCACAACTAAAATGGTAAAATGTCATCTGTGAAACAGAAAACAAACTAGTCAGCGAGTTCAGATTTCTGCCTCCCAGAATTCCAAACTGCATCCTGAAGACTAAAAATATGACACAGATGGCCAGAAAGGGAAGCCACCATCACCTTTTCCTCCGTTTCTCACATCCAAACCTTCACAGTGGGAAGACCATTTGTCAAGACCTACCACCTGGGAGAGTAACTAATCAAGCATTCCCAGGGCAGGTGTCAGTGCTATTTATTCCAAACACCCCTCTATACATAACTCCCTCCCCCTCCCCCAAACTCTTAGTAACCTTCTGTCTGCTGATATGAAAGTTTATTTAAACATAGCATAGTAAAAAAGTTTACAAACACTGTGAGGGGAAGGGAATTATTTCAAATCCTTTTAGAAGGTCTGCTCAAGGTTCCAGAATAATGTTGTATCTTTGATTGTTCTAGGTTTCAATATATTTAGCAAAAAAAAGGGTTTCCCCTAATTCTTTCAGAAATATTTAAGAACACTATTAGATTAATATTAAATGTAATATCTACAAAATTTGAGTCTTAAAAGTTATGTGTTTTGTAGAATCCTAGAATCCCAAAAAAGGAAAAGATTAAAAGATAATCAAGTCCACAACCCAGGGCTAAAGTATCAATTATGGATATGACATCTCAAAAAGTGGTCATCCAGACTCCGGATGATAGGGAATTCACACTATCACAAGAAAGCTCATTTTATTTCTGAGAAGTTCTAATAGTAAGTGTTTTCATCTATTGAACTTTTTTCGGAAGATAAAAAGTACTTAACAAAAATGTTTCAATTTCTGCTTTATCTTTCAGGAAATATAGCGAACAACTCATGATCTGTAGTTTTAGTAAACAATTCATTTCAGGTGCTAGGTTAGCACTTATCAAGAATAAGATGGTTATCTCCAACTACTTATAAGGCTATTAAGTGGAAATTGGATTAGATTTGTTGTTCTATGCCTGGAAGTGCAAAACTAGGACAAAACAAAAAAATTAAGAGTTTAAAAAAAAACTAGGAGTACTCTTCTACTACGGTAGAAGTTGCAAAAGGATAGATTTTGGCTTGATTCAAGGAAAAACTGCCTAATAATTAGGCCTGTCCAAATGTGGAATGGGTTGCCTTATAAGGAATGAGTTCCCTCAAAGCTGGAAGTATTCAAGGACAGCCTCCCTGACCACTCACCAAGAATCCTGACAGGTATGGGTTTCAGTTAGGAGCTAGACCTGATTCCTTCATTCCTTTCCAGGCAGTACTCCTGACTCTCCTGGACTTTCTCTAAAATAGCCCTAGGAAACTCTTCACCCTCAAAGTTAACTCTACCCCTGGACTTCATAAGAAGGATACAACCACCACTCCCATTCCCGCTACCTCTAATTGTCTGGTTCCCATAACCTCCCTTTTAAGAAAGAGGTCCAGGCCAGACATGTCTTTATTAGTCTCCAGGCTGCACTCCTGAATCTCTGGACTTTCTCTACAGTACCCCCCATGCCTGTTATCCCCAAGCTGAGCAGCTCCCCTTTGATATGTCTTCTCCCACTGGAATGAATCTGCTTAAAGGCAGAGGCTATATTACCATTTGCTTGTATTTGCATTCACATCCATCACTTACCAGAGAGGCTCAAACATACACACACACACACACACACACACATACACATAAGCCATATACAAGATGAATAGGAAATAATTAACAGATGGAAGGCACCAGAATTAAGAGGTTAGAAAAGATTTCCTGTAGAAAGTGGGATTTTAATTAGAATTTGAAGCCAGGGAAGCCAGTAGGCAGAGATGAGGAAGGAAAGCATTCCAGACATGGAGGACAACCAGAGAAAATGCCCAGAGCTAAGAGATGGAGTGTTGAATTCATGAAACAGCCAGGGGGCTGAAGAGTATGTGGTGGGGAATAACGTATAAGAAGACTGGACAGATAGGAAGGGACTAAGTTATGAAGAGCTCTGTATGCCAAGCACAGGATTTTGCATTTGATCCTGGAGGTGAAAGGGAGCCACTGGAGTTTACTGAGTAGGAGAGTGACATTGTCAAACTTGGCAACAGTGTGGCTGTCTACTTACCACCCTCAAAGCATAAAATGATTTTGAGCCAGGAGGGATGTTAAAGATGATCTAATCTAGTTACCTCATTTTACAAAATTGAGGCCCAGAGAAGTAATTTGCCAAAAAAAGAAGTATAGATAGAATTTAAACATATATCCTCTTACTTAATTTTTTTTTATTTAAAACTTTTTAAAGTTTTTTTTTAATTAAAACTAGGTGTTCTTTCTATAATAAGACTAAACAGACCAGAGTTTGGGTTTGTCTCTGTCACTTACTAGCCAAATGACAGTGGGCAAGTAACTTATTCTTTCTGAGCCACAGTTTTGTCATCTTTACAATGGAAATATTATAGTCACAAATTACATACATAGATTTAGAGCTTGAAGGATCTCTGAGGTCATCTAGTCCAAGTCCCTCATTTTATACATAAGGAACTTCAGGCCTAGAAAGAATAAATGACTTGCCCAAGGTCACAAAGGTGGATGAACTGGGATTCAAGCCCAGGTCCTCTGACATAAGGAAACTCTTAATTAATGAAAAATAGAGATCAATTAATTAATTTATATTAATTAATAAAAAATAGAAAACAGGTATTCATTTTCCACTTTTTTTTCCTATATGGATAGTCAAACAAGCTCATCTGGATGATCATGGACCTGTAATAATAAGGGACTCGATGCAATCAGTAAATGTCACCTGCAGATGACAGCATCTAGAGAACCTCACCATCTTTAAGGAAACCCTCTTTGCCTTAGACTCTGTGCTGGGCCTCCACCATGACAGAGACAAACACCTTTGGTGAGCATATAACTCCCTGTCTTAATCTTTGCCTGATAATAATCAGAGGGTCACTGAACAAAGTTACCTCTGCTTCATTTTTCAAGGTATTTTGTATGACTTTGACATGTAGGTAGACAACCTATAGAGCTCATCTATAACTACATATCTCTGGGACAGACACTGTAAACTGACAATCAACTGGACTCTGGATTGAATAGAAAGATGAGGTTGGGAAATGGGACAGTTCTTTTAGTAACTCCAAAATTCACTTTGGAACAAATACCCACTTTTTAACATCAGCATTCTTCTAGGCATGACGTATGCCTCAGCCAGAAGACAATGGAGAGCAAGCTGTAAGCTTGGTCAAGCTACAACAAATTACAAACCAGGAATTATGGAGGAGCAATGAGGTGAAGGACATCAGAGAAATGTGTGACAAGAAAAGAACAAAAACAAAAAGATGGTTCAGACTGCAAGACCAAAAAACTACCAGTGGACATAAAGAGTATGCTCCTCTTGGTATCCATGTCCTATGAAGAAAATTGGAAGAAGGCCCTCTGCATACTGATTGACTCCCCTTCTATCTATCTTTGCACAGTGTCTATCTATCACAGAATCTAGCAATGTAACATACTTTAATAAATGCTTATGAATTAACTGAAGTAAAATGGGCAAAGGAGACTTACCATCATTGAGATCTTGCAGGAGATTCTCTTGACAGGAGAAATCCAATTTTACTTTGATATTTACAGTGAATGTTGCTGTCTTTCCTGGTTGTAAGGGAAACTGAGAGAGTGTTTCTTCAAGTTTCCAACTCAAAAAGTCACCATACAGCTTTTCTAGAAAAGTAAAGTACACATGATAATTTTAGGGAGGAAATGTATCACTGTTTTAAAATGACCAAGTAAAATGAAAGATTATTTTATGCACAGGGAAGTCTAACTCAATTTAACAATCATTTATTAAGCATCACATATATTTCAGGCACTATGCTGGGCACTAGAGATACATAGATGAAACATAATACAGAATCCCTGCCCTTAATGAACTTATGATCCTAAAGAAGGAATAGGAAGAAAAATTTAAAACCGATACTCCCCCAAGTGCTTGGAAAAGTGGACGCTACCCAAAAGAATTTAAGGGAGAACTAGAACCAATAAGGAGACATTAAAGAGAAGCAAACAAATACTCTAAGAAAAAAATGTTTTTAACAAAGGGACAATCAACAATGGAATGAGCTACCTCTGTATATAATGAATCATCCCTGGAGGTCTTCAAGCAGATGCTAGAGAAAATAAGACTTAAGGGGAGAATGAACGCTGTCTTAAAGTATTTGAAGGGCCATCATCTAGAAGAGGGATTTTTATTTTTCCATTTGTACCCACAGGTCAGAACTAGTAGCAATAAGTAAAAGTTGGAAAGAGGTAAATTTAGACTTGAGGAAGAAACTTCCTAACAAAAATAGTCATTCAAAAGTGGAATGGACTGCCTTGGAAGGAAGTGGATTTTTCCTCATTGGAGATTTCCAAGAAAGACTTATATGACTGACCCCTTGTTGGGTACATTTTTTTAGAAAGGATTGTTGTTGGGCCAAACTAAATGGCCACTAAAGTTTCTTTTAAGTCAAAAAAATCTGTGATTCTATAACTTCTTGCAAATGTTGTGCAAATAATTAATATTCTTATATGAAATTGTAGGAACAACACCTAAGATCCCTTCCAATTCTGAGATGCTATGATTCTTATGAACGGAATGAACTGCCCTGTCTGTAACTGGAAGTCTTCAAGCTTGAGATCCAGGCTTCAAGTAAGAAAAAGATTATAAAACAAATATATCCAAAAGAGGAATGGGCTGCTTCTAGAAGTAGTGAATTCTCCCTTGGGGGAGATCTTCAATCACAGTTTGGATGGCCACTTTCAAAGTGTTGGTTAGTTTACTCAAACTGTTTCTCTCTGTGTCGCTCTCTGCCTGTCTGTCTCTGTCTCTCTGTAATGTGGGATGCCTCTATGGGAGGCAGAGGGGGAAAGAAATGGGAAAGGATATATTGGAAAATATAGGTGATAACAAAAAAAGGCATAAACATTTGTGAAGGCAGGTCAGTATGTGAGCTGGGGTTTGAAGCATAACTGAGCTTCTAATTTTAAGATTCTGAGTCAATGAATAAAAAAGTTATTTCATTCATTCATTTATTCAGCAAACATTTATAAAGTACCTACTATGTGCACAGCACCATGCTAGGTGCTTGGGAAAATATAGAGTTTAGATAAAATGTGGTCCCAGTACACAAACAACTATGCTACAAACCATTTCATGAAAATCTAAGAAAAATTCAAACACAGTGTTACCTGAGCGCCAAGAAGAGGAAAAGTCTTTACCAAAAAGGGAGGGGGGTGGGAAGAAAGGAACAGAAACTCATGGAAGGAGGAGGTAAGTGATAGGAATTCAATAAATAAAGTGGAGAAGGGTATTTCAGGCATAGGGAACAGCCTGATTAATGAAATGGAGGCAGGAATCAATCAACAATTATTTATATTTATACATGTGTATGTGTGTGTATGTATATACATATATATGTGTATATGCATATGTGTATGTATATGTATGTGTATACATCTTTGTGTGTGTGTGTGTGTGTGTGTGTGTGTGTGTGTGTGTGTGTGTGTGTGTGTGTGTGTATTTGCTGTGCTAAGGGCTGGGGTTATAAAGAAAAAGTAAAAACAGTGCATATACTCAAGGAGTTTATATTTCCACAGGGAAGACAGCATGGACATGAATCAGTATATAAGAAGATACATACAGAGTCCATAGTAGACAAACTTAGAAGAGAAGATACTATAAGATGAGAGAAACAGGAAAGGTCTCCTGTAGAAGGTGGAACTTGAGCTAAGTCTTGAGGGAAGGTAAGTAACCCAAGAGGCAGAGGTGAGAAAGGACAGCACTATCTTTGGCCATTCATCAAGCACTTACTAAGCACTTACTTTGTTCTGTGCACCATGTTAGGCACCAGGGACATAAAGAAAGGCAAATCCACTGTTACTGTTCTCCAGGAGGTCACATTATGACAAGGGGGACATGAAAAATAACTAAATACCTTCAAGATCTATACAGGAGAAAGACAATCTCAGATGGAGGATGATAGTAGCTGAGGGACCCAGGATAGACTTCCGACAGAAAATGCGATCAGAGCTGAGTCTTAAAAGTAGCCAGGAGTGGTAACAGGTGAAGAAGAACATTCCAAGCATGAAGGACAACAAGAGTAAAGGCACAGGTTAGGGAGACAGTGCAGCAGCAGTGGTGGAGCCCCACACCAGGGTCCTCCGGTCCAGGCACTGAAAACTCTCTGGCTTCAGTGTCTGCACAGGTAAGGAGGGAGTGGGGCCACTCAGAACCCCGGGAGAGAGCAGGAGGTCTGCAGAATGATCCATTTCCATTATGCAGGAACTAGTACAGCTTGATCACAGAGTCCCTAGAAGGGAGTAAATATAAGAAGACTAGATACATATGAAAGGGTTGGGTTGGGAAGAGCTTTCATCGTCAAACAGTGGACTTCGTATTTGCTCTTACAGGCAATATGAAGTCACTGAAGTTTACTGAACAAAGTAACACGGTTGGACTTGTGATTTAGGAAAATAACTGGCACCTAACTGTGTGGGGGACAGATTGGAGTAAAGAAAACACAATTCAAAAGAAGTATGCCCAGAACAGAATCCTGTGGTCTACGTGCTTTAGGGGGTGGCATATGGATAGATAGCCAGTGAAGAAGACTGAGGAAAAGCAATAAGATAAATAAGAGGGAAAACAAGAGAGAGTAGTCAGGAAAGGGTAGACAGTATCCTTGAATAAAGAGTGGTCAACAGTGTCAAGACAAAAAAGATGAGGACCGAGAAGAGATTACCAGGTTTTGCAATTAAATGATCTTTGGTAACTTTGGAGAAATCAATGTCAGTCAAATGAGAAGTAAGAAGCCAGAAAATGATGGATTGAGGAAGGACTTAGAGACATACAGGTATCAATGGTAGACAACTTTTACCAGCTTTGAAAAGGAGAAATATAGCATCATCCTGACATACAGTAGGTGTTTAATAAATACTTGGTTATCAACTGATAATACTGACAACACGTTAAAGAGATAGTTCAGTCCAGTAAAGGTTTTTTAAGGCTGGAAGAGACATGGGCATGTTTTTAGGCAGCAGAAAATGAAACAGTCAATAGGGAGGGACTAAAAATTAGAGGGGAAGGAATGAAATGGTTGCAAGAGTGATATGGTAAGAGAAAATGGGAGGGAATGGATACATGTAGAGAGGTTGGCCTTGATGAGAAGAAAGGCCACCTCTTTATCCAACTTGGGTAAAGGACAGAATCCTAATATGACATCTCCTAACCCCTTTTCTAGTAACTCTGCTCTAAGCAGGCTCTAGTCTGTCAACTTCATCCAAACAGCGACACCTAGAACATGACACAATACTAAGTATTGTCTGGCCAGGGCAGAGCACAGCAGGATTATTTTTTCCCAAAATATGGAATATATAAAAATACTTACATATATACATCAGTTAACAAAATTTGCATTTCCTTTTTTTTTTTAATCATCCTTATCACACTGCTGGCTCACATCAAGCCTGCTAGCAACCAAAGTCCTTGGATCTTTTTCATGTGGACCTTGACTAAGCTAGGTCTCAACAATCTCACACTCAAGCAACTAACTTTTCAAATTCATATTTTAATATGATAATGATTAATTCAAATTTATGTCATATGTTATAGCTTTAAAAGTATTCTGTCTTGAATATATAAGCTCCTTCAGAGTAAGGATTGTGTCATTTTTTTGTACTTGTATCGACAGCACCTGAGTACAGTGACTGACACATAATAGGTGTTTGATAGATGCTTGTTGACTGATTACCCATCTACCACATAAGGTAAGGACTTTACCTTATGATTATTATACCTATTTTGTAGGTGAAAAATCTAAGGCCTAGAGAGGCTATGTAATTTTCCCATGGTCAGACAGCTAGCAACTGTCAGAGAAGACTCAAATCCAGGTCTCACAAGACCATCATTCTTTTGACCCCACCTTTATGGGTTTATACATGCAATTAAATGTACTGTACTTCATCATACACAGATGTTCTGTTTATCCTGCCACATTTTAAGTAAGTGGTACAGACTAAATATTTTCTATAATTATTTACCATAGGCACACAGCATGACTAACTACTTCTCAGTGCCTCGAAAATGTATACAAAATTATACAGTGGAAACAATGGTCAGAGCCGAAGACCTTAGTTCTACTCCAAGCTCTGCTAAATGATGCCTAATTATACTCAAATCACTTCACATATCTCAAACTCAGATTCTTACTCTATGAATGGAGAATGGTAAAACTTGCATCATCCAGCTCTAAGGGTTATGAGATTGATCTGTAAAACTTAAAGCGCATTAGATATGGAAAGAATTATTATTCTCACGTGTTTGCTGATTTGACGGTAAAAGTTGTGAGCATGTAACATTACCTTTAATCTAATGAAATGTAGCTTTTCACTCCATCACCTAATCACCAAACAAGTTAATGCAAGATTGAGATAAATGGATGCCAGACTACATGAACTCAGGACATAAAAATGTTTGGACAATTATCCCTGGGAGTTCTGCCTTCCCCAGAAAGAGTGGAAGTACATACTGAGTTTGGTTTTTCTAAACTATCTATCCATCTGTTAGGTTAATACTAGTCAAGCCTTATCATGAGGCACTGATGCCAAGAGCAGCAGGCTTAGACCAGTGCACAGCAAAGGTCCCCTCTGACACAAGACTCTACCCACTGAACTATTTCTGCTAACAC